CTATGCAAAGTTTTCTTCTTTAAACCATTCTCCGTTAGTTCTGATTTTTTTGTTGCTTCCAATATTTTAAAAAAGCTGGCATTTGTTGAATCGTAGACAGAAACAAAGTTGATAAAACAAGGTAATTGTTATCGTTATGAGTAATTGATGCTTCAGTCATGAATAATATAGCGAATAGAGAAAATAGTGGTGTAATTGGCATTACCTGTATTATAGTTACAAAATATTTTTTTTACCACGTTAGTGTCTCACTTGCATTGATTTTATATCAAATATAGATAATGTTACGAAATACTTGGACGCAATTGACTAATAAAACACAAGATATTCCCGATGGTGACTTTATAAATACCTTTTCTGGATTATATCGATATGCCTCATAATTTGTTCAATAAATCCATGTTCTTCTATACGACAGATTGCAATGCCGGTTAAAGTGCTAGAGCTAATTGCGGATTTTACAAACATTGTAAATGATAAGATTATCGACATTATTAAAGGGATAAAGAAAGGAAAGTGGTTTTTAAATATTAAAAAGTAGGATATCGAAATATGAAGGAATCAAGAAGCCAAAGGAAAAATTATATAAATGTTTTATAGTAGAATCTTATTTTGGAAAATAAATTGAAGTTAAAACTAGCGAGTAATAATAACGATTATTTGCTTTAGTGAGTGAGCAAAGGGTGATATTATTTATTCTTAACCAACAACATAAGGCTGTTAATTAAGCTGTTTTTTAGATAAACCAAAGCAAGGTTGCAATCGGCCCAAAATAAACATTCAGACAATTTTCCTCGTCTTTGATAAAGCAATGAAGATTTTTATTATAAATAGGCATCGCCCTAGTAATAATAATACTAAGACAACGCAATAAATAAAAACGTATCGTAATCAGGGCTGGCAGCGTATAGGAATTAAAAATCCTAATTCAACAATAATTTTCTTTACTTAACATATGACTAAGTAGCTAGTCAGTTTAGCCAACTACTCATTTAAGTTACGCTGCCAGCCCTGCTCGTAATTTCCTAACAAGTAAATATGAGAAAATTAGCA